TGATTTTTAATGATCTAAACATTATGTGTTAATAGAATCATGGAAAGATAAAATCTATTGTTAATACTATTAATATTTTTTACGGTAAAACTTGATGTTCATAAGTGGCTAAAATGTCCAAAATGATAATTTAATACGGATTTAGATTTTTTAATAAAATTCTTGATACTTTGCATAATTATGAAGTGCTTATGAACTCACTAATCCACAAACTGTTTAATTTACCTAAGCGATTTAGATTAAGAAAAATTTCTGAATATACTTAGAGACTTTAAATTTAAAATTTAAAACAATAATAATTATACAAGAAGTATTAATTAGAGCAGGGCTCATGGCCTTTCCTCTTAAACCTTCGGTTATTTTTAGATAGTCTTACAGCTGTGCCACATTATGAGATCCTTTAATGACAAGCTGTTGAGGAAACAAAAGGTAAAAATAAATTAGCTCTCTCAAGGTAAGTCGTAAGTAAAGTTGCTGGTCTTAAAACGAAATAAAATATATAAAATAAACGCTTTAAATTTACTGATATGACACTTTAGTTTAAGGACATATCTTTAACTAGAGTGTCACATCAGTAAATTTAAACTTGAATTTAGTTTACATCTTGCAAAGCAAGCTGTTGAGGGCAAAAATAGATTAGAGAAGAAATGAATAGAAATACATTTCATAACATATATTGTAACTAAAAAAATTTGGGATTTTTTATTTCTTTGTAATTTAGGCACAAAATATACACCGTAACTTTTACTTGAATCTATTTAATATTGATTCGTCATGGCAAGATGAAATTTGTAACGAAACAAAATTAATTAAACAGCAGTTTGGGATGGTAGTTGCCTTGCAAAAAGCCCGAGGACCGTCACCATATTTCGTCAAGTTGTGTCTGCAAATGTCAAATTAAAATACACTAGTATGACTGTGCTCAACTGTAACAATTCTTCAAATGTCCATTATGAAATGCGACCGTATAATATTGTCCATTAGCTTCTTTTTTTCTTTAAATTACACCTATTTTCGTAATGTTCGCGACAGTGAGCCATTGTTTCTGGTTACGTGTACATTAACCATAATCATGGCAATTTCATCTCAAAAGAATAATAGAATTATGGTACAGATCTATAGTATAAGTGTTTTAGACTTATGATAGTCATTTATTACTTGCTATGTCCCGCGTTCTCTGGGTATTCGTTATCGTATGTAATTGCAGAAATTTCGGGAAAATTCTTGATAGAGCTCACTTAGAAAACCTTACACGTTATTCCATTTTCTTTGACCCAACTTTTTGGGTATCCAGAGTACCAAGTGTTTTTATACCTAAGATAGTATTTATTACGAGCTCCCGAGTCTTCGAACTCTACAAACACGTTAATCAGTTACTAATTGAAGGAATTTACCTCATAATGCTATCTTAGATAAACTCTTGCACGATATTCCGTTTTCTATGACCCAGCTTTTTGGGTAATACGTTGATTAGTCAGTCAATTAGTTTTAGAATAAATTTATTAAATAATTAATATACACTTATTATTAGTAACATTGTGTATATGTATTATACATATTGTGTATGTAGCGTAGCCCATTTATGGATAAATGAAATATCTCCTTTGAAAAGTACGCATTCTATCCTGAGATAAAACCAAAAACCATCGCTCCTAAGAATATCCTTCTATTCTCGTCGTTGACTAGCGAAGCGTAGCGAACTCTAATGATAGGCGGGCACAATAGATGTATGCAGGTTGCAGTGCTACAAGTCTAAACACCAAGTAATAGCCTAAAATATTTAATAAAAAAAACATTATAATAAATGTTTTCCTTTGAAAGTGGGAAAATAGATCACGTTAACGTAATGTGTAGTAAAAATAAAATTACTGACTGACTTTAGCCGCAAAATGGACGCTGGCGTATACATACTGCAGTTTAAATAACCTTCGAATACTACAAGTTAATAGCATTTACTGTGGCACGAATAGAAATAACATAACAACATACCAAACTGCAGTAAAATAGATTAAACTATTAACTTTGGAAGTTTTAAGAATCGTCTGGACATACGTAATGTTCAGATTCTCAAATTTATCATCACTTACATATATTTATAATACGCTATTTATATGCTATTTTTTAAATGTTTATTAGTACAAACGCGAAGGTTTGTGAGTATGGATGGATAGATAGAAGTTTCGTTAAAATCCATTCAGTAGTTTTTGCATGAAAGAATAACAAGCATCCATCCATCCATCCACAAACTTCCGCCTTTATAATTTTAGATTACTCTTTAAAAAGACTTCGGTGCCCACAAAGACGTTTTATTACTTACTAGCTGTGCCCGCTGCGTCAGCCGCATTAAATTTAAAGCCTATATGCTATTCTGATGTATAAACTATATTACTGCAAAGTTTCACCAAAATCCGTCCAATAGTTTTTGCGTGAAAGAGTAACAAACATCCATCCATACTCATAAACTTTCGCGTTTATAATATCAATAAGATTGTAGGTACTTTTAAAGAAAAATTATGCTAAGGACTTAGAGTGCTTTTGTATTTGCGCATAATCTAATACACGTTGGATCAGTACGAGCATTTACATAGGCAAGCGTCTTGAATCAAACGCACACATATTATCACTGGTAAGATCGACAAAATAAGATGTAGCTTGAGTGAAGTACAAGACCGAGCGTCTACATATGCGGTAAAATGAGCGTGATTCATATATTAAACCACATGACCATCTATGGGCTTATTTTATAGTATGTATGACTAAGACTGTAATATAATATCCACATGTAAAATTCACCATTTATGTATACAAATAAATAAAATCGATGTGTCTGTTTTTTCATTCTTTCTATTTCATATTATGGCATTTCACTAAATGCAAATAAAAGTATATACAGCACTTACATGAAAAAAATGATTTAAAAAAATTTGTCTGTCTGTCCAATTGTTCTTGTTGATCTATAAAACGGCTGAACCAATTTTGCCGAGAGTTTCATTCGCAGATAGCTACTGTTATAAAGACTAACTTTGTCTTAGAAATTTTATTTATACAAATAAATAAAGGTTATTACATATGGACAAAGTCGTGGGTAACAGCTAGTTACACAATACACTTCTTCAGTTTGAAGTTTCACTTTAACAGCTATGACTATATGAATTAAATCATAGCCCTAACAAGCAACTGTCTTAAGTTAATGGAATTTTATTTATTTAGGTACCTGATTTTAAATTTTTATCTTGATAATTTAGAAGAATTCTGAAATCTATAGTTTATTTTGATTTACCATACAGATAAATTATATCAGAGAATTAATAGTATAGTAATAAGTAGGTATAGTAGTAAATTACAGTGTAAGTAAATTATAAAAAACAAATTACATGGTTATCATATTAACCTGTAATGACTGTGGAAACAATTAGTATTTTAAGTTAATAGTATAGTAGTAGATATATTATAAAAAAAAGATTTTCATTTACATTGTTATTGTATTAACCTATTAGGACTGCAGGAACAGTATTAGTATAGTCAGTATTATAAGTAAACAGTTTTATATATGTTTCAAAACACTCTAATTCCAGCCCTATGTTAAGGACTTAAGTTACAAACTACAATAGTTTCTGCTTATTTTATTATTAACTATACCATTTGCACAATAAAAGTAAGTTGCTATAATCATTGTTGATTTTTTATTGTATTAACTTATCAATACTCTGAAAAGTAGGTAGTTCATTTCTTATGTTATCTCTTGTGAATATTAGATATTATTTCTTCAATTATATTTCCATCTTCATCATCATCATCAAATCAATTTCAATCATCAATTGATTAAACATTAATTGGTTATATGCAAAATTCAAGACTTCACACACTCTGCCAACCGGCATTCTGGACGTATAATAAGTCAACTTCTTTTTCTGATTACAAATTAAAAATAAAAACAATAAACAATCAAGAAACAGACACATAAGTAAGTAAATTCAATTTATTTTTATATTAAACGTAAGATGCTATCATCATTGTTTATTCTTTATTTTAATAATTTACAGACAAAGGTACATATTAGCAGAGAGGGTGGACTCACTGCCCTTTGTGAGTTGTAGACCATATTGTCACAATAAATACCTTTTAATTAAATTATAACAGTTCAGTATTTGAGACAAATAAAGATGATTTGTCTCAAATACTAAATCATATCGGAACATCCATTGTAGCAAAACTTAGATACAGTAAATACTTAGGTATTACAGTTACATATTGTAGATAATTGATTGAGAGTTGAGTAAGAAGTATCAAAGTATCATTATTATTTGACAGGCTAACAGAAGATATCTTGAGTAATAACAAACATGTGATGGATTGGATTTAAATGTGCTAAAACTTATCAAATCGTTTACGGCTATAGGAGACAGTCATAATAAGTAGTAATAAACTACTATGTTTATTACTTATTTCAATATTTGTTTAACAAATATAACAAATATTTGTATTTAAGAGTAGAAATTTTTTGTATTGGTCTGAGAGTCTTAATTTATATACTATATATTTATATATAAAATATAGTGTAGCAACCTTAGCCTTGTTTAGTTAAATAGTGCTGTGTGAATTGTCCTGGATTATAATTATTTCACACTACTGGCAATATTAAAAAAAAACAGAATTTAATAAATAATAAAAAATATTAGTGGTCATATTCATAAATAATTATCTATTGGCGTTTACCAATTAGAAATAGACATAAGTGTAAATACTTGTTTCTATTTGCATCATCCAAAAAGCATTTAATTACTCGATAATCGTAAAATATGCTAAATAATCATGACAGAAAAATTATTAAAAACTTGTGTGTAAATAAATGAATTAAAGAAATTAATATTATTCAAATTCAGTTACTTCCAAAGTATTGATAATAAATATATATTCCGTTATATATTATAAAAGTAGATTTATAAACAGTTACACTCTGAAGGCGTTAGAATTAGATTAAAATAAAAACAAAAACTCACCTGTTTCCTTTGTCTTAAGAATGGACGCACTCTTAAAAACTACTGCACCTGTTATATTATGTACCACATAATCTTATTATACAGTTCTTCCTAAGAAAAATCACTTAATAAATGCTATTTTTTATTTGAATTTTAATTAAAAACAAAGAATGAACGAGTAATACACAACAAGCATTAACGAAGTTTCCTACAAGACTGTAAATGACATTTGACTGACAGTATATGACATTTTTGACATGATACTGACATTTTGACGATGGATTGATGTTCCAACCGAACTGAATGGATTTTAATGCAAAAAGGGCTGTATGGGGGCAGTGCCCTTTGCCTTTCCTTTAAAGGATAAATAGAAGCAAAAATAATGGATTTTATCGTTCCCACTGTTTTGTTTATAGTTTAGAATTTTGTCAAACCTAGAGACTGTAATTTAACTTTCAATAATGTTATTAGCGCTTTAAAAAGCCATCTGTAATATAAGCATGAAATTACAAAAGTCACTTGAATTTTGCTGAATGTCTTGGCGGTATTGTCCATAGATGTCGCTACATGGTTAATGTAGGAATGGTATTGAATAGAAGCTAAGAATTTTAATGCCAGCATTAATTATGTCATGCCAGCATTGTTACTTTTATATAACGTAGGTAATAAATATAATGTAATAAATATTCTTTGGTATATAGTTCCCTTGGTTGTATAATTCTTAAGTCTTTAATTGTACTGCGATGTACAGAATACAAACAGTACAGAATAGTTACTTAATATTAGCTGAGCCCGCGGTTTCACCTGTGTTAAATTTCAATATATAAAATTCAATAAAAAATATAGCTCATTAGCATATTCTGATGCTAGCTGATATAAGCTATATTTCTGTAAAGTTTCATCAAAAACTACTTACCAACTTTCGCGTTTATTAACATTAAGATTTATTAGGTATATCATCATATAAATAAACAAAAGTGAAGGTTACAAATATAGCTGATATTTAACAAATTTTATCTAATTGTCCTGAAATACAACCCAAAGGTAGTGATTGCTTAACGGTAAGACCACCTTTTGTATTAGTTCATGTTTATTTACCTACTATTAACAAAATTTTTGTGCAATAATGAATTGAAATTTAATTGTTTTTTTTTAAACAGATAGGTCGCTAATACACCAAAGTTTCATTAGAGAACGCACATTATATTTCATCAAAGTTAAAAAAAAACCTAGTCATAGGTTTTTTTTTACCTAGTAAAGTTTAAGTTTAAGTTTAAACCTAGTCATAGGTGAGCTACGTTAAATTTATACTTACATGTTTACAAATAAAAAAATAATAATACAGGACTTGTAGTTATAAAGGCAAAGGAATTACATTGAACTGTTTACGATTTATCAGAGCAAAGAGCATAACTTTTTTATTATTTTGTTATGTATCTGAGTAGCATAGCTTACGAACTGGTGGTCCACTTGACGGAAGTGGTAACGTTTATAGACTAGATAGGAAGGAATTGTCAGTAGTTAGTAATGGGGATAGTGGCCCCTCTAATGAACAGCACTGCGGATAAACGTCATCTCATGAGACAGCCGTGTTACCCTTATAATTAGGGACTTAGGTATCATACCCCTGTTAAGCTTCTAATCAAATAAAGACAAAATGAGAGCCGTGTCGTATCAACATTTAAAGAGCATGATGAAAGATTGCAGAGAGTGGCAAGAGTTCCACCGATAAGAGCGTAGCTCTTAAATTATGGATGATTTCTAATCTGTTAGCTGCAGCTAGCCTTTACAACTTCACCGAACAATAGAGGGGAGGATACTGGAGGTATAAATGGCACTATAAACCCGAGAAAGGACTTATGGAGCAGCTGAAGCTGAAGGACAAGTCCTACCTGACGGATATATCTGAGAGCACCGCTAGGTTCGAACCTCGGCTGTCCGTCGTAGTTCTGATCCCCGTTTGAATTCGATGGAAGATCGATCAGTAAGGTAATTGGACTGGCGTATTTCACCTTTTAAATGATAAATAAACTTGCAAACTAATTTCTAGCATTTTTATTTAATATTAATATTTTATATTATATATTAGGTATATAATATTTTATATTACACAATTAAATATATAAAAACCGATATAAGTGTGAATTAAAACTAATCTCCATACGTTTATATTCATGCATGCATTTCCATAAAGCGACTAAGCTTTGTCAACGTTAATCGATTAAAGTGACATCGAAAAAATTCGATATCCACTGCCGAAAATTGGTAACCAGGCAACGGTATATCGAACACTTGCACTAGTCGATATACCTTTTTACGCATCCCCAACACAATAAATCATATGTTTTACATACGTACCTGTGCTATAGTGCTGTAGGGTGAGTGACGACCATAGAAGCATAAATCACTACGAGTAAGTACGATATTGTTGTTCCTCTCTAATGTAGGGATGTCGGCACAGGGCGCGGCACAGGCTTGGTTTGTTCTGTTGTAAATGACTTATGGAGGAAAAACTATGCTTTTGAATGATATTTAATGTTCTATTAGTAAATGTATAGCGTACTTGATGAATTGACTTATTTATTGTATACGTTATTATTTAGCGTACGGCTATAAATACGTACGTATATGTACAAACTTTCATTCTGTTAATTATACTTCTTATTTCTTTGTAGCGATACCTCTTACATCTAAGCATAAAAGATAAATACATATGATGTATTAAAATTAAAAAGTTTTATGTTTTATAAATTACTAACAAAACCTGCATATATTTCAAAAGTAATTAAAACCCCATTGATATATCTTTACCAGAGATGTTAGGGAGCTCCGTAACCGTAATTATCGGATATCCGATATAAAAAAATATTCGTAACCGTAACCGAATCCGAAATAAAAGTTTCGGATAATATCTGATTGGGGCGGAGCCTAATTGAAACACGTTATGTAACCATTTTATTAGCTATTTGTATTTTACTTTTGAAATTCCTTAAAAAAATAATATCCGTAATCGAAATTATTCGAAACTAAGGGATAATCCGAAATAATTTCATATCCGCATCCGTATCCGTATCCGGTATAATAATCATTCCTATATCCGAAACCTATCCGTATCCGAAATTTCATATCCATAACATCCCTGATCTTTACATAGTATAAAACAAAGTTGCCGCCACTAACTGTTCGGTTATATCTATCTTTTAAATTACACAACAGATTTTAATGCAACTATAGATAAAGTGATTCAAGAGGAAGATTTATATGTAATACATGCGCGTTAAAAAATAGAACAATACGATAATTTCAAAGATTTGTACATACATCCGTGCGAAGTCCGGACGGGTCTCTAGTTCTATATAAAGTTCAAGAACATTTGAATTATAATACCTACATATTATTGAGAAATGCACCTACTACAAAATTCCTCAACCTATTTCTGTGTTATACAAATAATACTTAAAGTATAATTTCAAGATATACCAATGTTTATACTTGTTGTTTTGTCATGAAAATATTGTTACCTGTTTTAGTCGTATCCTTGGCCGACTATAATTTGAGAAAGCCGCAATATGATATCATTTACATTCTCTTTAATTTACTTTATAATGGCTCTTCGTTCTGATTTTTATTTGCCACTGCCGTTGTTTATGTAGGTACGTATTTAGCTGTTAGAGGGACTTGAAGTCCATATACGTACGTAGACTTATAGTCCTTCTACTACTAATTGCCCGCAATATCACATGGATGTGTTTTACTTTATATTAATTGTAGCTAAAAGAATATATATATATACTTTTTTTTTAATAATTTGAATTAATAATTGTAAGTATATATAGTTAGATTATCTCTATATTTTTAAAGGTATCTCTAACTAATAAGGATTTATACATTCATATACTGAAATATGAATGTATAAATCCTTATTATTAGTAAGTAGGAATTATAATTTAAGGTGTGTATATACACCTATATATATATAACCTATATTTAAAAGGTATATAATAACAATCTGTGATAATAATAATAATAATAATAATAATCTCAGGACAATTCACACAGCGCCATCTCGACCCAAGTTAAGCTAGCTAAAGCTTATGTTATGGGTACTAGATAACTGATATAAGTACATAGATATTTTTTTTTCGTAAATACATACATATTATACATAGAAAACACCCAGACCTGTACAATCATACTCATGAATACAAATGTTTGTGCCGTGCGAGGAATCGAACCCGCGACCATCGGTCGTAAAGCGGTGTGCTAGACCGCTAGACTACCGAGGTCGTCTTATATATATAGCAAATATATTAGGGCACTACTGGTAAATTCTTAATACTCTGCTATTCTCTCAACCACGATGGATCAAGCAATAATTATATAATAATTTTACAGCTCTGTCTTGGTTTTTCTAAGATAGTAGGTACTTCAACTGACTGATTCAATGTTTCATACCGACCCAATCAAATTTGTTTCTTACTACAAATCGACCAAATTGTTATATAGCAATAGAACCCTCTGCTTGGGGGGAAGGTGATTGTAACGTGGATTGATAACCTCATCGCTAGCAATATACTATGTCAGGTTGACCTCCACGCGGTTCCCCCTGGAAACTATCGTGATAAATTCCTAGTGAATATATCATAATGGGCTAACTAACCTGACCTCATACTCATCTTATCATCTTCCACTGGTACCCTACCAGCGTAAACTGTTAGCGCAGGCGGGTGCACCATTTTATTATCATCAAAAAAAAATCCTCGGCTTCTTTACATAGTATAAACTGTCTATTGGCTTATATCTTTTAAATTACGCAACGTATTTTAATGCGCTTTTCACCACTGTATAGACTAATTCAAGAGGAAGGTTTATATGTATAATACATGCGTGTTATAGTATTGAACAAACCGAGAAAATCCAAGATTGCAATTTGATTGATTGAATGCGTTATAGTATTCGTGCGAAGCCGGGGCGGATCGCTAGTATTACATAAAATCATGGTTTCAAATACGTCGTAAATATCTTAGATTTGTAAACGGCCGTCATATCAAGACGGTAATAAGCGTATATCAGCCACTACAAGTTTGTAACCAACATAGCATGTGATGTCGCGTGCAAATGTTAGCTTCATTTACATTTCTATGCAAACTCGAGCATGCATGGCGTGCGTATATCCACGCTTGTAACTAATGTATATCTACGCTTATTCTAATAGTACGTAAAATATTCTCTCACTAATCCTGTATCGAGCAATACCTACATAAAATATAAATTGAAAAACTTAAAATCCATAGCACTGACAATATTATCTGATTACACTAATATTGAGTGCGTACCGATTTCTATGTTGAATATCGCATGCCTCTTATTTGTTATACTGTAAATAAACATCTATTCAAAAGAGCAACACACAAGTTTCTTGCTAATTCTTCTTGTGATGAATCTGCATTCCGAATGAGTGTGAATCAAAATATGATTATTCAAAAGTGCTTGTAATGGGTTTATTTGAACAAAGATTATTTCTATTTCAATAAACTAAAAATTTAGAAGTCTTTTTTTATATGTTGATGGTGGCACCCTAGCATAGGCCCGTTTGATGGTCAACTCCATACATAAAAGATGGTAACTCCATAAAAATCAGGAGTGTCACGTGCTATAAAGTTAACATCAGCCAATTCATTCGGAATGTAGGCTCATCTCAAGAAAAATGAGCAATTGCGTATTGCTCTTTTAAATAGATGTTATCTAGATTTTATATGAATACAAACTGCTAACTATCAAAGTTGATATTTTAATAATATCTAGAATATCCGTAGATTATATTTATTTAATTTTGTTCAATTATCTTAGTAACAATGGAAATTATTCTTTACATATAAATAAAATTGGAGTGTACCTTTGTGATATTGAAATAACCGGTTTTTTATAGAATAGAATAGAAAATAATTTATTCAAATAAACTTAATTTAAGCACTTTGGAATAGTCATAACATTTATTACATACACATGAATATAAATACGGTACATACACCAAAATAACATTTTTACAATTTTTGTCTGCCTGTTTGTTTGTTCCGGCTAATCTCTGAAATGGCTAGACCGATTTTGACAGGACTTTTTTTGGCAGGTAGCTGATGTAATAAGGAGTAACTTAGGCTACTTTTATTTTAGAAAAAAATCTTTTACTTTAGAAAAATAAAGTTAAATTTGAAAACACGCGGACGATGTCGCGGAAACAGCTAGTAAATACTAAAATCTGGTCTCATCTGAGAAGGAGCCAATTATTAGACTTGGACACTATAGCCCCATCTGTGAGTAGTCCTGTAATTAGTCTAAGAGTTAGCGTTAATATCATTTTGACAGCTAACAGTTGAAAGATTAAGATTGGCTAGTTATAAATATACCTACTCGTATATTTAATCCCCTATAATTTTTAATTAAACATAATGTGACCAGTTTTATAGAAAGAGGAAAAGCTTGTATCACAAAAGTATTCGAAACCCAAAGTTATAACTGGGTAACTCTTGACAATAAATCGAGGTAATTTCATGTACCTAATGGCGTTCGTAATCGGTACAGACTAGCATTACCAACGATTTATTATGTTAATGAGGTATTTTTGTTGGTATTTTGTCAGAAATGGTAATTATACTAAATTATTTGGACCTATATTAATGAATAATGGATAATAATTTTGGAATATTTGATTTTTACGAAAAGTTTTGAAGTATCTTCTTTACATAGTATAGAAGTTGCTTCGGCCGTATGTTTGCTTAGATCTCTTTAACTACGCGTATTTTAGCAATAGTTTGAGTAGTTCAAGAGGAAGGTTTATATTTGATATAATATATTATTTCCACCAGTGCGAAGCCGGTGCTGGTAGTTAGTTATGTAATAAAATATTAGGTGGACGTTTTGTACAAAGTAAATGACTTAGCATGAGATTTCTGTCTTACTTTTTTAAATGGGTGGTAATGGAATGAGTCGTGCATCTGCCTGCACTGACGGTTTACGCTGGCCGAGCACCAGTTGAGGATTTTAAGATGAGTATGAGGTCAGGTTAGATCAGTTAGCCATTATGGCCTATTTAACAGAATTTATGGTTTTCACTGGGTACCGTTTGGAGGACCAACCAGTTGAGGATTTTAAATATTCTTTATTGCACTTAAATACATTTAACATTAATTTAATGTTATGGTTTCTCTAAAAGAGATCTCTTCCAGTCAACCCAATAGAGCGTAGCATAGGAAGTGTTGAGTGGGTTAAAATGTGCAAATTATATTTTTTATGAAAATGTCAAAATAATTAAAACTAAACATAAAAATATAATGTCCAAAATACAGATACTAATACAATATACATAGATTTTAAGATGAGTATGAGGTCAGGTTAGCTCAGTTAGCCATTGTGGACTATTTAACGGGAATTTATGGTTTTCACTGCGTACCGTTTCTAGGACCTCAGGTGATATTAGTCCACATTATTAACTATCTCCTTTCCCCCAGTCGTACTTATTTCTATCGCCAAGCTAAGTATGTACGTACTTGCTTTTAATCTGGTCGGTTAGGTACTATTAAAAATCAGATTTGCAGATAGCGTGTCAGTATTCTTGTTAGTACTTCTAGATGCGAAGCAATTTCTATAAAAAAAATATATTAATAAAAGTATGGCGACTCAAAAGAGTAGTCATATTTTTTTAACTACTATTTTATTTATACGCTTTTGCGCGTAATTTTTTTTTTTAGATTCTTTACCATGCTTATAGTGCTCTATTGGGCTATATTTCAACGCGTAAATTGAAGTTTATTTGAATAAAGAATTTTATATTCTATGCTCACTATTCGGCTAGGAATTGGGCGCTGAGCAACAGTGAAGAATCTTACCAGGGTGAGGATTAATTCTAAGGAAATCACCAAGAATTCAGCACAAAGAACAACTATTGTTTGCAACTGTTCTTTAGCGCTATTAGGTACTAAGTATTCTATGATATTACTGTATAATTCTATGACAACATTGCGTGGATACTGTCAAGACTCATATTGTTGCAGTCTTAACGACTCCAGTCCATGGCGGAGGGAAATAATGAAATTGAATAATTCAATATTTTTCAAGAACATGTTTCCAATAGAGTAACAAAATGTATTTAATATGCAAAAAAAGAACAAACAAAAATAGGTAATCTAATTTATAAAAGTAAAAAGCGACCAGAAAAATCAAATGTTGACCTCCGTGTTCTAGCCCCCTCCGATCGATCCCCCGTCCAATTCAAACGGGAACGATGTTACGACGGCCTGAGCCGAGGTTCGAACCCCTAGTGGTGCCCTCAGACTAAAGTCCTATCCGTCAGGCGGGAGTTGGCCTTCAGCCGCTCCATAAGTCCTTCCGCGGGTTTGGAGTGCCATCTGCACTCGCCCCCTATCGTCCGGTGAAGCTGTAAAGGCCAGCTGCGGCCAACAGCATTAGAGTAGTCCGAAAAAAAAAGTGTTCTAGCAATATTGTATACTACCCTATATTTTATTAGTATTTAATCCCCGCACACTGCATACAGTTTATTTTATTCATGAAGTTTTTTTTATACCACGTAGGTAGTAAACAAGTATATGGCCCATCTGATGGTAAACGGTTACTGTAGCCTATGGACGCCTGAAACACTATGGGTGTTACGTGGTTTGTACTAATGATTTCGTGTTTTTCCCCAAGAAATAATTGAAGTATGTTACCTGTTATACCTGTTGTCTTGTTATTTAGTGTCCAGAGTACCTATTAGATCTACATAGTTTGGAACTAGATGTGTTAGCTTCAATACATAAAGAACACTCAGCTGACTAATTTGTTACGTACATTTCAAATTTTAAACCATAGCGAGTCACGTGATGTTGGTGGCGTCACAATTATGCTGCCACCAATAGTAATAGAGAAAAAGAGGCCGGGAACAAGGAGGGAGCGGGTTGCTCTCTCTTTGTTCGAGGCGACTGAGATGACTAGGTGTGAATATACAGCAAATTTATGTGGAGTGTAATTTGAAAAAGGAATAAATAAAAGTACTGCTGCATCGACATATCATTTCTGAAACTTCCCAATAGATGTCTCTGTAGGATTTGTACATTTATTTAATTTAAATACTTTATTGCACCAGAAAATATACAACAATATAGTAAATAACTAAAATACATGAATTGACACAAAAGGTTAAAAACCGTTCATCGCAACCGTAGCAATCTCAACCAGACTACCTTTGCGTAAAAAAAAGTAAACATAAGAAAAGGAAGGAAGTCTATTAGGAAATATTTTTCAATATATACACGTAAAGTATATCTACAGTTATCTAACTATAATTATAATATCTATTCTAATCTAACGGTAGGTAGGTTAGACTCACTAATTAGTGGGTAGTCATAACCCAGTTTGAAACGGTACCTCGCGCCACCTTCCTTCCAGCGATTACAAGTTCGATAAGTTAGACTAACTTAATTGCAAAGTTACTTTGGAAATGTATCGGCATTTTCAAGGAAAGTTTTAGGTAAGTTAATAATGCGTTATGTTATATATAAAATTCTCGTGTCACAATGATAGTTACCATTGGTTACCATACTCCTCTGAAACGGATTGACCGATTTTTATGAAATACATATTCAGTAGGACCGAGAACCTACTTATTTTTTTATATTATGGCATTAAAAATACATACAACCCCAAATTCACCCTTTAATCCCTATTTTTTAATTTATATGGCAAAACAACATTTGCAGGATTAGCTAATAAGCTATAAATGTTAAGTATAAAACTATTTTTATATATATTTTTGTGAATTGATTATTAAATCAAGATTATTTCTCTGACGAGTCTAAAAGTGTAATTTTTATTTATCTTTGTTTTTAAGATTTTTCAACGCGTTAATTGGCTGCAGATAATGGCAGATACAGACAAGCAGCAGCTCAGCATGGCAGCCAGTGCTATTGCCATGCGAGGGGTCAGCCTGTTCCTCAGCGCTGGGAGGGCGGCAGCCGAGCGCCGGGTCGCAGCCACCGCGACCGCGCCGCGCTCGAAACAACCCAAGCCTGTGGTACCAGGTTCACGGCCGGCGCAGAAGATTTTCGACATACTTTTGAAGTCCACGCGGTTTAATAAGTAAGATTTATGCGTAATAATATAATTATTGAGTTAGTAGCTCTGTCTGTCTGTCACGCTTTCACGCCAAAACTACTGAAATTTGGTACACACCCCTAGAAAGGATATACGGTACTTTTTAACGCGAAAAAGGGTTATAAGCGGAGAGAAAAGTTTGTATGGAAATATTGTCATTTTTAAAGCTAGAAGCTTGAATATTTTAGATTGTTGATTAAATATAAATAAATATGACATTCACAGGTTTTAAAAATGTTACCTTTAAGGGGGTAAAATAAAATAGAGCATGAAAGTTTGTATGAAAAATCGCCTTGGCTTTTTTGGGTTAGAATATTGATTATTGATTATTTTGTCTTTATTTGGTCAAGGTCACTATAACAGGCGGAAGAAATCGCGGGCACAGCTAGTCTATATATATATAAGATGAGCATGAGGTCAGCTCAGTTAGCCAAGAGTGATAAATTCACCACGAATTTGTCACGATGGTTTCCAGGGGAAACCGTGTGGAGGTCAACTTGATGCAGTACATTGCTAGCAATGTGATTATTAGACCACATCATCTCAATCCCCTTCCCCCTCACACCATAGTATCTATGTGTTGCCATACCTGATGGCTAAGGTGTCATGTCTGTGTATCGAGTAATTTAACTCCCAATACTCATCCATAACTCTGGAATAGCTTAGCAAGCTGTTTAGCATACCACACAACACGAAAATTTGTGATAAATACATCCACGCATATAACTTGGTACAAAGTTTACCTTGCTGCCCTTTGTAAAATATTTTTTTATAAGTAGAATACATAGAAAAGACATAGAATATACTTTATTTGTAACATAGTAAAGAAGCATAAACAATATATTAAAGGACATGTATAGTTACAATAAGGCGGCCTTATTGCTGAAAGCAATCTTTTTAAGGCAACCTTAGGGAAACGGATTGAAAAATGAACAGATAGATAATATACATACAGGAGAAAACTAAAAAATAACAGACATATATTGATAAAGGAAAATAATAAGAAGATGAATTTAAAATTTATTTAAACAATAATAATTATAATTAAACATAATTAAACCATAAGACATAAATAATATATTAAAGAACACTTGATTAATTACAATAAGTAATTTTATCTGTTTATAATTATACAATAATTAACACACTAAATTAGATATAAAAGTAGCCAGTAGGTAAAACTACACTACTAAAACCTTAATCTTTTTGCCATATATTATAGTGCTTCCTATATATCTAACTTCATAATAATACCCATCAACCTTTTGTCGATAATATGGCCGAAACGATAAAAACAAAAGTGCTCCAATAACGAACTTACACAACTGTAATTTAGGGAAATTTACTTCACTATTTTGACATTGAAGCGTATCACGGTATCTACAAGTTCGACATCTTTTACATTATTTATTGTCTGTGGTATTCAGCCTTCAACCGTTCCTACAGTCGAGAGAATAGGCTTGACGGGGCGGCCGGCTCACGCCTACCTCCCTGCCTTCTGTTAAACGCGATATGCCACATAGGAAATTAAAGGAAAAACAATTGGAGTATTATAACAAAAACACGCATTTCAGCAAGTGAGTTCGCGAATTGGAAACAATTGGTTTAATTATATCAAAATTATACAATAAATTTTATTTGTCCTATCAATAATAAAAAAAATATTTTTATTAAATTAATATACATAATTAATTTGGTCTAATTGAATCAAATTTATTTCTAACAAACATCGGGTTTAGTGTTGTGAATTTATTTGGCTTTCCGTAAGTAATAATTACTTTATTATTTTCCAAATTCAATTACAAGAATTAAAATTAGTGCTTCGTTCATTAGAAGAAATAAATGCCGCGCGGTAAATTAAAAGAAAAAACTTTAGAAGCTTTAAAACACACGCATTTTAGAAAGTAAGTTATTTAACTATTTTATTTTATATATATGTAGTAGTAATAACATAAATACAAGGTAAGTGTTAAAATAATGTTATTAATATATACTGTAAATAATAAGTAACTGAAAATTATTCATGAATCTATTTATTGATAAGCAACGATATCAAAACATATCTACTGTAATTCTAAAACTTTTTGAATATGGTCGCACTTAATGTGTCCTTGTAAGGACTGGTTAATTGTGTTTGCTGATTTAATTATTTTGTTTTAGTGATATTAATTTAATAGCAAATGCTAATGGTCACTGTAGTCACTCTATACACTATTAGTATGTATTATTATATACAATTCGTTTGTAAAGAGTAAGAACAGATTTCAAATTCAAAATTTTTAACTCACTTAAACCTACATGAATAAACATATATTGAGTAATATCAGATGCTTGTTATTTGTTTTCGACTCATTTTATAAACAGGACTTGAACCAACATTACAAATATCAACAAACCACTAGGTCCAGTAACTTCATAATGGCAAACGACTGTACAACTTTTCATCTTGTAAAAAAGGGGTTAGGAAGATGAAATTTAGGTTAAATGTATTTGTCATCATATAAGCATATTTAATATTATATTAACTGTGGTATACACTAACGAAGGATATCCTAAAATTTACAGCTCAACGCTTAACTTTTTGCATCTGGAACGGCAATGGCATTTTTATGAATAAGTATTGTTTTAATTAATAATAACATTTTTGCAGGAATGAATTGGAGGCTCTATTCACAATGTATCGCAAATTGGTGACCGCTGCCCAAGGAATCACCCCCAATACTGCCATCGGTCAACCCCCCGCGAAAGTCGACGTAAGTTCATTGTTGTTATTTTATTCTTTAAGGCAAATTGAGAAACAGAAACAAAATAACTTTTTGTTTATATCACAGTCGTGGTGAATTAGCCTAGGTATAGACTCATGAAACTCCAGGAATGGCACATGCGCGCTACCGACCATTAAGAAACCTAGTGGGCAGACGGGTAGTACCCGTCTGTCCTAGGTTTTGAGACTCCTACTCACTAAAAACTCCAAAATGTCCCCCATTCAAATGTCATATGCAGGAGTCGCGGGGTCGAATGGCAGTCCACCGCGACTCTGAATACCTTGTTACAATATTATAAATAAAATAAATAAGTATAGCCATTAAAAGAGGCAACGCATCTTAAGTACCCTGCCTCGATGTCCCGCGATGGATAATAATGATTGTTTTTATTTGTGAATATTTACAAATTTATTTATTAAAAAGAATTATGAGTTTATTTCATATGTTAATTATTAAAAGTGAAAATTAGAAATTATTTTTACACTCATATATGTATTAATAAATTAAACAATATAATTTCAGTTGTTTTACCCTCTATACAAATAGAAATATATTCAAATAAACTCAATATAAGCAAATTTGACTTTTGAATAGTCATATCTTTTTGATTATACCAGTCATTCACGAAAAACGAATCGCAGACTCATCGCAAGAAGAATGAGCAAGAAACTTGCGTGTTGCTCTTTTAAATAGATATTGTTTCAAGTAAATGCTATACATATAATGTACGTACTTTTCCACAGGGAATCGATCAAAGCACATTCAGGGATGTGATGCATAATACTTTCGACTTAGTAACCGAGGAGGCTATTCTGGAGCGAATGTGGGTGACATGGGAGCGTGGCTCGGGCGGTGGAGAAGGCGCCTTGAAGTTCGAAGCCTGGGTGAAGGGACTGAGTAGACTGCTTAGAGGGACTGATGATGAACGAGTAGCTCACTGTTTCGCTGTCTACGATCTGAATAATGACGGATATATAAGTAAAGACGAAATGTTTTTATTATTGAAGTGAGTATCTTCAATTATAGATTCACAAATATAGATAAGTAGCTGTGCGCGTGACTTCGTCCGCGTATTATAGTGTGTGTCCAAAGTGACCTTCATCAAAGAAAGAAACAATATTCAATAATTTAACCCAAAAAAGTTTCATCGTTGTAGCTTATAAATGATGATGTTCCATACAAATTTTGTCTCCCCATTCAATCTCTTACAACCAAGTTTTCGCTTTAAAAAGTAGCCGATTTCCTTTCTCAGGGTCTAGACTATCTGTTTACCAAATTCGATTTAAACTGATACTGTAGTTTTGCGTGAAAGCGAAAGTCAGATAGACAGTCTATCTGTCTGCTACAGAGTTACTTTTCTATTTATATTATTAGTAAGGATAGTAGCAATTTGCTGTGAAATTGAATACTATAAAGAAGAAGTTCATGATGGAAATGTTATAAGTGCAAGTAAATTTTTTTTATTAGACGCATAAGCAAAAGTTACTTTTTCGGAGTTAAGTTGTAGATTTCATAACCTAACATGAAAAGAATAAGAGCCATGTTTCTTTTCTTCTTAACTGTAGAGCACTCCGGACAGACGGTACATGTGACATATCATAGGAGTTTGTAATAGACCTAGGTACATGAATAAAGATATTTTCATTTGATTTGATTTAAACAATATCTAACATTATATAACCAATCTAGGATATTTTATGGCATGAATATACTTTAAAACTATTCATAAATATTAAATGAGCCTTAACAAAGCTAACTTATGTACTACTTAGGTATTGATTTTATTCGCAAGTATTGCAGTTGAATTTTTCAAGTACCCTGTAAATATTTAGTTTTATTCTGCAGTAGGTATACCCATTTACTAAGTTGTAAAGAAACTGTTGTGAGAAATTCGATTCATCCGCCAAATAGTTTGTAAGATGTGTTTTGGATGAAGAGTGAGGTATGGCAGTGAAATAATATGGTACAGAGACATCACATCTTAGACTTTAGAATGGCTATACGTGAAACATTGAAAGTCAATCATACCACGGCAATTTGATTGAGATATTCATGCAGTAAATAGTCTCGATTTCTTCACAGGTGCAAGTACTGTTACTTAACAACAAAACACAATTTTATATGTAATGGATTATAATTTTTATTCCACAATCAATGTGCCTAATACGGTCCCTTAATCCATTACATTTAATACACTTTACATTTAAACAATACTACCTGTGCCCGCGATTTCGTTCGCGTTTTTTGGGTAACTTGAACCGTTTACGCAGTGCACGCAACGGAAGCCCTCAAATATGAATAATTTTCCCCGTTTTTGCAACATTTTTAACTGTTACTTCACTATTTATTCCTCGACAAATGAAGTCAACAACACAAAAAGACACACATAAAATATTTTTCAATTCGAACCAGTAGTTCCAGAGATTAGCGCGTTCAAACAAACAAACTCTTTAGCTTTATAATATGACTATAGATACATAATATAAAACAATACAAGGAAGAGTAAACAATAGTAGCAAAAAACAAATCCCTAATTAAATGTGTTAAAACACTAATTATAATTGGACCTATGCCTGATGAAGATATCCAGTGGATATACGGCAGTAAATATAGTCTACTCTTGATTTCATTTACAGATATGATGTAACTCTCACTTAGCAACAAGAACAGTAATTTTATATATCATATTTAAAATTACTGTTCTTGTGTTTGGATTATACTTTTTATTTCATAATCAGTGTTCCTAATTCAATCACGAAACGATGTCTAAGGTACTGATCATTTACGTATGACCCAGTTGCTTGTCATTCCATTTAGTTAAAAAAAACATTAAAAAGAGACAGATAAATTTCAGGAATTCTCTCCTGAAGCAACCTGGAGATGAAGACCCGGATGAAGGAGTCAGAGAATTGGTGGAGCTTGTTTTAAAGAAGCTAGACGTAGACAAGGACGGACGAGTTTCAGTAAAAGATTACAGGTTCGTAATAAAGTCCGTCTTGTTATCGCACATCATGGAACATTTATTTTTTAATTATTTTATCATCATGAAATTTTTGATTACGTTATTGGAGTTTTTTCGTTCTTGTAATAAATTTAGCCTGCATTACTGAACATTATTTAGCATCATTATGGTGAAAGAATTCAGTAGTATTTGAGTTTGTTCATTGCAACATACAACATTTATACAAAAATATAAATCTTATCTTTTCTTTATAAAGTTAATAGATTTATTTGCATGTATTAAAGATGCTATACATTTTTCTCAGGGACGCTGTGGATCAAGAACCACTGTTATTAGAAGCTTTTGGCCAATGTCTGCCCTCCAGGAGACAGGCATCCGCTTTTCTCAAGACTTTGAACTCTAAAGCGTAGGATAATATAAGAATGTTAGTCGTAAGGAGATTTGTAATTTTTCAAAATAAATTAAATTAGCATAAAATTAAGGTGTGCTAAATAGTTTTAATTAAAACATTCTGTATTTACAAGTGTTTAATATTGATTTTCAAAAAGCTTCATAAGAATTTACTGATACTTTTAACCGTTACGACACATATGAGAAAAACCTAGGAACTGTATGTATAGAGGTCCATTCAATTATTTTCAATTGTAAAACTAATGTAGCTTCGTTCGAATGGCTTGACGGTAAACGTTCTTTTGTAAGGCAAATAATTTTGAATCATTATTAGATCTGAACGTACATCAAAACGCAATTATTTTATATACCTTTTGTAGTTATTTATAAAATTTATATATTCAGAATATAATACAAAATAAGTAAATTCATTGTAAGAAGACTTGAATATAAGGAAAGTATATACCTATAAATTTATACCTACACTTAAAAAGATTAATACATCATAGATATAATCTGTGGGCAGAGGAAAAAAATACGCATATGGTTCGGTAGTAGATTTTTATTACCAAAATGAATCCATTGAAAATGTCAACATAACAACAACAAATGTGCTATCACGGAATTTATTTCACAACCGCTTGCATGTAAAAAATACATGTAACTTAATATTACTTTGGTCTAATTAAATTAATAGGTCTTAATTATTTTTCCATACCAAAAGTGTTTGTTACGGCAGTAACTAATGGTAGTAGTTATTTTTTAAATTAATGGGAGTCTAATCATCTGGGTCCAGACCAGTTCCCAAGAGATCAGTGCATACCATTGCTGAGGAGATAGGTAGCAATCGGTAGAGCTGTAAACAATAAAAACAAATTAAGATAATATTCCACGATTTACTTATCTATACATCTATACATATAAATAAAATTGGAGTGTCTGTTTGTAATATTGAAATAACCGTTTTATACTACATGCATATGAATACACATACGGTACATACACCATCTGTCGGTCTGTTCGTTCCGGCTAATCTCTGAAATAGCTGGACCGATTTTAACGAGACTTTTTTTGGTAGATAACTGATGTAATAAGGAGTAACTTAGGCTACTTTTATTTTAGAAAAAATAAAAATAAATTCCACGCGGAGGAAGTCGCGAATACAGCTAGTTATTGAATAAAACAACTTCGTGCCAATAGGGCCATTAATAATCAAATTGGAATGGAGGAAATCGGTACATAATTCAAATTAAACAGCACATCGAATAGCCCTACTATTTCATGTGGTTGCGTTTTCACATTGAACATTATGTCACAAAAATGTTAAATATATATTCATTATTTCCCAGTCCCCGTGCCTTACTTCCAATGGTTGCGGATTCGATTCGAGCACGATACACTTTGAAGCGATCTATCTGCATACATTGTAAGATACATATCTTTCAGTTGAATTGAAACTCATGAGTACCACAAGTGGCACAAAATGACGCAATTTTCAGGGTTTTGTCCGTGCATATAAATGACGGTTCCTACTTATCATTAGCCTGGTTGCCATTTCTAATATCATTATTGCTTTGCTTTATCCCATTATTTGAGTCGGCGCAGTATGTCTTCTTCTTCCAATGATCCATATCAACTGTCATATCTGAGCTTACTCTCCCTTTATATATATCATCTTTTACACAATCCATCATATTTTGCTCATCATCCTCTCCATATCCATCCGTCCATGTTCATGTTAAACACTTTCTTTTAGACTTGTTCCTTGCCTTTCGGCATATCATACTCATACCATCTCAATATGTTACATCGCAATTTCTCTATAACTGACGTAACTTTCAAACTTCGTTATAAATATATATACATTCCTCATCTCAACATTTGCATGTATGCCACATGTCCACTATCTTTTTTTCTTTCGTTCAGCCCCTTTGCAGATAAAAAACATGCGTCACTTTGAAAACTTACCTTGTTTGAATAGAAGAGATCGCCAGGAATACTAATCTCAGTGTAACGTCTTCTGATAGCGTCGACAATTCTATCAGCAGCTTCGTCTGTGTCTACTACACTCAGAAGTTTCTCGAAACGTAGATTAGGTTTCTTGCACAGACCAGTGTTTACCATTGTGGGGTAGACAGTGGTTAGTGTAATCTGGAAATTAATATTATTTAAGATTAGGTTTCATGTAGGACATTTTATATTACTATCTACATGCTGCGTAGTCTTCCTTACTGTATGATAATGTAGATCTCAGTTTGTAAAAGAATTCTAGAAAATATTCAAGCATTTACCGAGTTTATTAAAGGAAATAGAATATGTTAGATAGTGTAATAAAATTTATATTTATCTAATATTTGGCATACTTTGTCTCTTTTGTGTGACAAATATTAATGTATATTATAAAGCTACGAAGCTTATTTGCTATTTTTAAGACAAAAATGTCAATCTACCTAAGCTAAACTTTACTAGTAATATATAATTATCCTATAATACTTTCTAGGTTTGCTGGAAGAAATCTCTTCTTAGAGATAAGCTCGTGTATATAAAGTTAAAATATAAAAAAAAATGTATATTAGATGTATAACAATTTAACAACGTACTCCATTGGTGTTCTTAGTGCGGTCCTCGTGGAGCTCCACACGCAATGCTTCCATAATACCCTTGACGGCGAATTTGGAGCCGCAGTACGGCACAATGTTACGCAGACCCATCAGTCCAGCCATAGAACTCATTGAAACTATGTGACCGTAGTTGCGTTCGATCATACTGGGCAAGAACGCTTGGATACCCTGCAAGTTATATTTAGATTAATATAATAAACATTTTTCTTAGATTTCAATTATTTTAAAATAATAACGACTCGCTTTGACTTCGAACGAGTGTAAAATATATGTAATAAAAATTATAATAATATCATTCTTTATTTTAGAGAAACCGAACTACATCGTAGGCATGAAATGCTTATATCGTGTGATTCAAATGTAAGTTTTGGACTTCAGTATTGGATATACGGCTTACTTAAATAGTACATTAAAATAATAATATCATGTTGGGGGGAAAAGTATTTCTAGTAATCTAGACTAATGATCCTATTGCTAGAAATGTTCCTCCTGAAAACCATCGTGGTAAATTGCCATTTGCCAAGACTGACCGGCTTACTGACCTGACTTCAGGCTTATTTTATCACCCTCCAGTTGTGCCCTACCAGCGTAAACCGTTATCGCAGGCGAGTGCCTAATTCCATCATCGTCCATAAAAAATAATATTTCTGACTACCATCATCATCATTATCATCATCTGCGTCTTCTTTATCTCATTTATTTGGGGTCGGCGTAATATATTTTTCTCTTCCATCTTTGACTACCATTTGGCATAATAGATTTGAAGGAAAATTATGTGTTTTTTATTAGAACCTTACCCATAAAACTCCATGAACATTGATATCGTTCATGAGTCTAATTTCTTTCTCGGACTGTCTGAGTATGGGCTTGCAAGGCATGATACCCGCATTGTTGACGAGAATCGTGACGGGACCAACTTCCTTCTGGACTTTCGCGGCCAGGTCAAACACTGAGGCACGATTGGTTACATCGCATCTGGAAAATTAAACAAATTATTATATTTAAACCTGACTTTAAAATATATACAAACAAATCAAGAATAATTAATGTTATCTCAGAATGTTGACTTTTATAAATATTCGTTTTTTATTTCAAAAGATATCTATGCTTGCAGATTATTTCCATAAATTTCATTACAATTTGTTCCGTAGTTTGGTTTTCAAATAAAAAAAAGTTACGAAGAAAATTTCTAATACCTTCTGATTTTATTATCAGACGATTAGTAAAGAAATTTCAGTAAGTAGCCGTTCGAGTTCTTTCTGTCGTCTTGCGTTGAAATTTTTAATAATAAAAAAGTCTTGTCATATGTATTGTTAAATAACAGGTAAAGTTTTACTAGTAAATATTTTATAGCCAAATATTTGTCCTGTACTTACTCATAAGCATGAGCTTTCCCCTTTTCCTGTTTGATCAATTCTACAGTTTCAGCGTTGGATGTTTTATTGATGTCTACACACACGAGGGTAGCACCAAGTCTGGCCAACCGCAGGGCGACAGCACGTCCCATGCCATGGCCAGTGCCTGTGATCTGTAATATTGAATTTTAAATCTTATACATTATGTCTCTAAAATTAGACTAGGCGTATAGTCTAAGGATTTTTGCCTGGTCCATCATTAGAAATAGAGATGGACGAATATGTGAAAAAACATTATGGTCTCTTGTGGTGCACCAACATCAGGTCATTCTAATTTTAAATAATATCCATAAAATTTGAATTACGAAGCTGAAGCCTTTCAATTTGGTGAAAATTAGTCATTTGAAAATACCAACTTTAAATCATACACCTACTTCATTAATGTACCTGTTAAATTTCGAAATTCTAGTACATTCATTATAGAATTCAATATATTTTGTGACCACTCTTTTACATTAAATGTTGGTAGTTTGATACAATGTGATTTTAATTCATTAGATACTTTTTATATTATATTTTATAGAAAATTAAACGTTGATTAGTCTTCTATTCTGTTAAGAAATTCTAATGTTGAAAGGACAAACGGAAGGGCGATAAGTATACATATAGTTGTAGTCTTCTTTAATTGTTTAGATAGTACTACGTTAAACGGTACTTAGATATGATTCATTAGGTTCAAATAATAGCTATCTTTGACAGTAGTAGAATATGATTAGTTAACTAGACCAAAGTTCATTAATGTTATCTATTAACTTGTTTTTGATAATTTATTAATCTGTAAGTTTAATTTCCCTAGTCCGTTCTTATGATCCCAGATTTTGTTTAAGTCCTCTACACTACTTTTTATAAAAGTTTTTGAATTGAAAAAGTTTTGACTATTATTTTTCTAGTCTCTGTAATATTATCCCCTGCCTATCTTATAAATTTTATCATAATCGTAGACCATTTAGTGTAAGTAAGTAATATTAACTTATCTATGATATAAGTAAAAATATAGTTGAATGTATAATTCATGTGTAAACAAGGATAAAAGATAAAAATAAAATACATACCAATACAATTTCGTCTGAAACATCTCTGAGTGCAGGTGGCACGAGGTGCAGGAAAGCGCTGTGCAAAATTCCGGCAACGACTCGGATAGCAGCCCAAAGGAACTCTATTATTAACCTGAACGCCGTTATTACTTGTGGCTCGTCCGCCCTGGAAATAGAATAAAGAAAGAATATAAAAAACAATCCAGGTTATAGCTATATAATATATATATAATGGATTTTTTCCGTACTATTAATATGTATATGCTGTTTTTCACAGCTGACAATTACGCAGCTAACAAATGAAAATGGGGACGAGTGCAGTGGCCACTCCACACGGAAGGACCAATGGTGTCGCTGAAGATCTATTTACAGAATAACTTTAATCTCAGGGCATCGGTAGGCGTCACAAACTACGCTCAAGATTAGAGATTTTGATCCTCGTTGGAATGGGACAGAGTTTCGATCTCAGTGATTTTGCATGTATGGTCGTTATTATTGTAACCGAACCTGCCGAACTCCTTTCAGAAGCAAAGAAAATTAATAATCGTAGGCTACTTGGAGCAAATTGATTGCTCCAACAATTCGTGATTGGGAGATCACTGCACACTCGTATGTGAGCGGCCATTTCTTCGACTTCAAAGCAGTATCTAAGTAGTTTAAAGAAAAATTAACAAAGTTATAGTTCTTTTATATAAAGGGAATGCCTGACAGGCTGATGGATAATTTGATAGGAAAAAACAACCGTTACTTATAATCAGGAACAGCAGTAATATCACAAAATATATTAAGACTCAACTTTTAATATCAGTGATTCAATATATTATCTGCAAACATTTGTATTCATGAGTATGATTGTTTGTATGTATATTATGCTGTATTTTTAAAAAAATTACGTATATTTATAAGTTATCTAGTACCTATAACACAAGCTCTGCTTACCGTGGGACTAGACGTCGATATGTTCAGGGTTATTTATTTATTATCTTTTTACATTATATATCTGGACCCTACTACCATACCTATACGTTTGATGCATCTGATTCGTTACCTAAAAATAACTACTATGAATGTTCAAAAAGTATTCGTAGGTATACCTAATTATTTAATATCGTAATTAGCATTTATCATAGATAATTATATAAAAACAATATCATTGATTAAAAATATCACGAAGGTCGACACAATACCGGATACAAATTTGTCATTGTAATGTTATTGGATAGGTTTTACTACTTTGAAAAAAAAATGAGGTTGATAGTTGTGACATCAATTTAAAAAAATATATGTACCTTTTAGGTGCGAGATTTTTTTCGGACTATAATGCTATTGGTCGCAGCTGACCTTTACAATTTCACCGGATGATAGGGGGCGAGTGCAGATGGCACTCAAAACCCGCGGAAGGACTTATGAAGTGACTGAAGGCCAACTCCCGCCTGATGGATATGACTTTAGCCTTTAGGGGTTCGAACCTCGGCTCAGTCCGTCGTAATATCGATCCCCGTTTTAATTGTGTGAGTGAGCGAGTGTAGGAGTATAGGTACATCGATGAAGTTCGATCTTAATCTTTACGTATAATAAAATTGTAAACTCATAACCAGTCGAAAAGTGACTAGTGTTGTGTGTTAAACTTAAATACGACTGAAGGAATTAATCGTATAATATGTTTTCAAACATTTTTAAAGAGTTCTTTAGGCTATATTATTATGTTAACCACATATAGCTCAAAGAAGTTCATTAGATCCAGATCCAGAACACATATAGATAAAGAACAACATTATGGTCAATATATAGTACATGTACAATTGTACATATACTACATGTCGATCATAATATCCGGGACTATGTCTTATCTGTTACGTTCAGATTTTCTAAGCGTGATGTTTACTAAACAATGTCACTTTGTTGTGATATTGGCCATTTAAAAATAACGTGTTATACTTAAACAGAATAACACATAAGCTGAAAACGAAACTAAATCATCTGTAACATAGTTATTTATATAACTTAAAAAAAAAACATTATTTAAAAAAAGAAATATTTGACAGATAACTTTTTAAAAAATAAAACCAGTACAACATATATACAAATCACAAATAATTAAAGTCTTTCAAAGCCACTGTCTCTCATCGTTACTCGAGGACTGCCTCGGTGGTCCAGCGGATTAGCACATCGCTTTACTTCTGATGGTCGCGGGTTCGATTTCTCGCACGGACAAACATTTGTATTAATGAGTCTAATTATTTCTATCGGTCTGAGTGTTTTCTATATATAATATGTATGTATTTACGAAAAAAAAATTATATATGTATTTGTATCAGTTATCTAGTACCCATAACACAAGCTTTAGCCCTTATTGTAACATTATGGAATGTAAATAATATAAATAAATGAACAATATTTATTATTACGTGAACTTAATTTCGTTATATCGAATCTAGCCAACACCAAATATATCGAATCTAGTCAACAACACTTTTTGTTTTCATTTGAATTCCTAACACAAGAACATTGCGACGTTTTTGTGACATCTCTGACACAGATAAGAAAATATTACATATCTCTATAATATACACATCTCTTGTCAACTAAACATTCATTTGTTTTATTACCATATTTTACAGCACAAAGCTAAAAAGTAGGTACATGACAACTGAGATTGGTTGTTGGTAGAGCATATAATTGTTTTAATCTGTAGACTGAGATTTTTATTGTAGTTATATAATTAGTATTTATACTAATATAAAAATAAAATATAATATGCACTATTTATTTAATTATATAATGTATATTATATAATTTTTATTGTAATTATATATTTTTAGTACCTATATATCGTTATAGCGATAAAAATAATCCAAAATTGTTTATTAATTGACCACGTATAATAGTGTATTACAGTGCCCTATCTATTAATGATTAGATTATAAGTAGGGCCTCAAACAAAGTCTCAAGAGAACTAGGTGGTCAGCCCTTTCATACAAAGTTCATTTTGATTATTCATATAGTTGGTCGTTAAGTCGATACTAATTTCAAAACATTTTATCATTTACTACATTACATATTAAAAGATATATACATAACATATATAAACTATTATATAATAAATAGTATTTACTATTTGCTTTATATTACAACCCTTTATTTACACTATATAAAATGAAATCGCTTCCGTTGTTTGTTGGTTTAGATCTTTTTAATTACGCAACGGATTTTAATGCAGTTTTTAGCAATAGATAGAGCGATTGAAGACAAATGTTTATATGTATAATACGTGTACACCCGTACGAAGTGGCCAAGGGTAACTAGTTGTACTTAAATATTTTATTGTGTAAACTCAAAAAATACTTCAACGATATTAACTATCCTTATAGGTATTAAAAGTTCCACTATTAGCCAGAACAATGGGCCACATTTCATTAAAAGAAATTATTTAAAGATTCTAACAATAATTTTATTCTTGAAAACACGGGGTTAATGCTTAAAAAATAAATGTAAACTAATATAATTAAAATATATGTAACCTATATAAAAATAAATGTAACCTAAACTGAGAGAGAGATTTTGTTAACAGATTTTGTTTTAAAGAAAGTAGTTTCAGCAAAGCGATTGAAAGAACCGAACCAATTGGGAAATTCTCTCACGGCTTAAAGATAAATTGTTCCATAGGATACACATATGGAACTCACAAAGTTATGAACATATGACATTGTTGTTTTGTACTTGTATTTATATATTTATATGTGTATGTATATATTGCTTGTAATTTTTGACAAAACCTGAGCTCTCAACTAGTAGTATATAATTCTACTTGAATAAACAGTGTTATTACATCAAATATAACGTACTAGCTACTCGCTCTGGCTTCGCACACTGTACATGTATTATATATATACACATTCCTCTAGAATCACTCTATCTATTAAAAAAACCGCTTCAAAATCTGTTGCGTAGTTTTAAAGATTTAAGCATGCATAGGGACAGACAGCAACAGATACTTTATTTTATACTATGTAATGATATACTAGTTATAAAAACATTAGATAATAACACAGTAATCAGCAATACGTATTTACGATGATGTAGACTACCGACCTCATACAGTTTGAACGATCTTGGCCATTAGGTTATCAGTTTACCAAATTTCAATCAAAACACTCCGTCGCCTTGGACGTGATTTATTTTTGTTACGTTTTTCTAAACTAACATTATAAACGGCAATAGAATATAATAAATAACCGGAGACAATTAACACAGCGAAATCTAGTCCCACGGTAAGTAGAGCTTGTGTTATGATGAGACAACTAATATAAATATTTAGATTTGTTTGGAAATACATACGTAATATATATAGAAAACACACAGACCGATACAAACAAGCATACTCATGAATACAAATATTTGCACCGTGTAAGGGATCGAACCCAGGAAAGAAATCTGGAAATCTGTATCATCATAAAAAGAACGAGCAAGAAACTTGGGGTTCTTCTTATATATAATTATTGTAACTTTACATTTTTAAGTTTAAAAGTGTGTGAATATAAACCATTAACTAGCACTAATTCATTAGTGTCAAAATATGAAACAATCAACTGATCAAGTAACTAAATAATATTAAATCAGTCGTAGTGACCAGAGGGTAGATTTAGACAATCTATTTTATGTATTATATTTATTATGTATATATTTTAAAAAAACCTTCACGGATAATTTACAGTATTAGGACTGAAACGAAAGACTTTTAACTATGAATATTGAATTCGCAACTAATCGTTCTAAAGTTCCGCACAACTTACTTATTTTTTTTCTTTCATAAGAACCTTCTCCTAACAATAACAAACACAACAAAAAGAAAATTAGTGAAATCGGTCCAGCCATTCAAGCGTATGCGGTAAATATATATGTATATAGACTTCAACCAAGTCAGCTTATAAAGGAAACTCCTTGAGGGTTAAAAAGGAAAAAGAAGTTTTATTAGGGTCGAAGGAGCTGCTACAAGTTTCATACGGAGATAAATTTGTAAGAAGTCTAGCGCCGAGTGGTATACAATGCTATGTAAAGTTATTCATATCTATGGGAACATAAAAAAATACGTAAAAACCTCATATAGTCTGATCTGCCTACCCTGTAAGAGATTTGGCGTGAGGATCTACAAAAAGACTGTTTAATTTGTAACTCTCAGTGATGTCAAAAAGTCGCCAATATAATAATTACTTAAACATATTATGTTGCACCTTATCACATTAAAGTTTTACTACGATAATGTGTTAAAGCGTCCATTCACAACACGATTTTCAATAGATCGATCAGGTTGATCTACAGGATATAATCGTACGGTCCTTCTATACACGAATGTCATCCCAACCAACTGGTTGAATAGTGATTTCCCACCACGCAGTTTTCTAGAAACTACGCTTAAACCCATTAATTAAATCTCATAAGAGGGGAAAAGGACTATTGGCCGTCTGCTTTAATGTATATTGTTAACTCAGACGGCTGCTAAATAAAGCTGGTGGGATACCAGTGGAGTATGATCGAATGAGCACGAAGTTTGGTCAGTTAGCTATTCAAGACAGTTAGTTATTCAAGGAAACCATTCATCATTCGTCGTCACTACATAATTGACTACAAAAGGGAGGGGTGATGGGGAATGAACCAATCGCAAACAGTGTGAAACCTGAGAACCATCGTGGTTAATTCCTGGTTTAATCACGCTGGGAAAATGAGCAAAACACCTGACCTCATACTCATCTTATCATCCTCCACTGGTGCCCCGCCAGCGTAAACCGTTAGCACAGGCGGGTGCACTATTCCATTATCATCCATCTAATAAAAAACCACAAAAGAAATTACTAGTCCCTATTAACAATACCTCCTACCATGCCTATTGGTGGTATGGTGAATTAGGCCGGCTGATCATTTTGTTAACGTAAAAAGGTTATGAAACATTCTAACATCTATTAAAAAATCCTATGAGAACTATTTCTATACCAATACGAAATATAAACCTTCAAGTTGAGACTTATAGTCCAGTAGAGGCCAAAATATATATTCTTTAAAAATTAGCATTGAGACATACGGCTATTCTGCTATTACTAGTATCAAGTCAGGGTGCGATAAGTCGTTAAGACGATATTTGGTTAAGACGTATCGTGTATAGACAGCTTTAGAATTACATTGTTATCTTATTTACTTGTATCGTCAGTGATAAAGTATTAATGTTTTTACATAATTAGTCAATGATAATGGACTAAGTACCTACTTTGGCTAGTATTATTATTATGTATGAAAGTTTAACAAAAGATCTTGGTATAGGTGCTCATATCCAATAGATTATTGATGGATATTTATACTAGATTAATCATATTAGTTAAGTCGAAGCCAATCTGAAAGCGGTGGTATTCAAGAAGCTGAATAACTTGTTACAAGAAGTAATGCTGAAATCGTAATATAGATTTACGAGTAGGTCTTAAACAGAAACTGTGCTTTTATGTGACCGTTTTAGTATAAGAGATCACATAGTATTTGCAAACTTGCTACTAGCTAGGTGTGTATGTATTATACATATAAACCATACTCTTAAATCACTCTATATATAGCTAAAAAGCGCATTAAAATCTGTAGAACAAACGGCAGAAGCGACTTCATTTTATATTATGTAAAAATATTTCCAGTTTATTCCTTGAGCAAAGAATTTGAAATTAGTATCAACTAATGCTAAAATGCTGAAAAATATTATTTTCAGTTACACAGTAAAAGGCATCTTTCAACAATTCTTTATAGTTAGAATTCGAAATATGGAACCAGTACCTACTGGTTTAAAAAGAAGGGTTACCTCTTACAAAGAAATTCTCTTCCTAATCTCGGAAACATATTATAGTTACATGTTTTCTACATGTATTTTTTCATTAATTTGTCGCATCAGATGACCTATCCGTAACTGAAATAATACCTATTAATGCTGTAAGATTGTTTCTACTAAGTGCACATAGTCGTAGTTTAAAACCACAAGTTTTGACTGTGCATTTATAATGTGAATATGAATGGATTTTTCAATGGTTTTTCTATGCTAAACTATTTACTTTAAAACTTTTGTTCATTTAGTACATTAATACAGTTTGTTGGTTCGCTGGAAAAGTATATGTGTAGAACTAAAATAGACTACTACCACCGATGAGTTTTTACCGACAATTTCCAAAGGGTAAGAGAAATTTTTGGCGTAAAAGTCTACTATAGATAATCATGACTCAATAGGAAAGTACTTAACTAAGTTATCATCACACAATTTTTTATCTAAATCCATCAAGTAGTTTTTGTATAATACATACACAGACAGATACCTAAACGTAATGGTTCCAGTTTGTATTTAACCTACCTACTTAAGTCTGTTTTAATACATATTGCTATTTACAGGATCCATTATTTTTGTTAGAATAGCTATTAACCAATGTGGGAACGGGTGCCAACTCCATAGTATGTTTTGTTTAATCCAGATAATATTTCGAAAATGTCACAGTTTGGATATTTATTACTCAAATACCAATTGGTACATAGATAGATCATGTCATAGATTAACGTAAATTGTACAATTTGCCCAAATTCACTCGGGAATAACCGCAAGATATAGCAAGCCCGGCCGTATTCATTCGGGTTCTAAACCAATTCAATAAGTGTTACCCATTTTGTGGAGCAATCCTTTTAATGAAATTAATTTAATTTGTAACAAAATAAAAAATGCACTTACATGTTGAATCCGTCCAATTCAAGCACTGGTACTAATTACAAATTAACACAATCGTGTATTATAACAGGCGGATTTAGTGCGATAAAAATCCGATAATATTCGATATCAACCACGAATTTTTACGTTAGATAATGCAATGATAATCATTTGTTATCCGAATCTTGAATACAAACATATAAACATAGTTATAATCACCAGATACGCTGTCAAGTAATGAGGCATTTCGAATGTACTGTCAATGTGAAACAATTAAATAAAACACTGATTTCTTGTTTTATCTTATTTGCGCAAAGCGACAATTTAACATAAATTTGATCTATATATATATATAGGGTACCAAACGATTTTTGTCCCTTAAGAAAGGAATTATATACTAGTAGAATTGAATCAACTTTTATAATTTACACATATATATGAAAATACTAAATCAGGAATAAGACCAATAACAATTAGAGACCGTTATAGCCTAGTGGTATACAATCCGACTATAACAAAAAGATCTTGGGGTTCAATCTGGCCGAAACAATAAGCGGTAAGACAGATATAGGCAGACAATTTTATAAAAGTTAAATTTTAATTAAAATGTATAAAAGTTAAGGTAAGTTAAATGTTATAAAAACCCCTGGCGAAACTTGTAAACCGTTCTAACTCCTTGTAATAAATATTTGTTTTATTATTATTATTAAATTATTTCCTTTATATTTATTTCAAAATCGGACAATTTATTTATTTTGAAGATGAACATGTTTTTTTTATTAGTTAACGCTAAAATACAATATCATATCGTATATATATCAATATTTATTTTAAAAGTAAAGTGAAGGAGGAAGGAAGAAGGAGGGAGCTGGGTGCTCCCTAAATAGGAAAAATCCTGTACTTACTGTAGGATACAGTGCTCTTTTCCTACAACAGTACAGTGATACAGAAAATATTATAGTATACTAGCTGTTCCGGCAAACGTTGTTTTGCCTATAATAAAAAAAAAAATTAGGGGTGGACTACCCCTAACATTTAGGGCGATGAAAAATAGATGTTGGCCGATTCTCAAACCTACTCAATACGCTCACAAAATTTCATGAGAATCTGTAACACGAGAATTTTATATATAAGATATTGTTGATCAGTATTCATTAAATTTACACTGTTATAGATTTTACTATTTGTGGTGTAGAAGTTTATTTATTTATAGTTATATTAAAAAAGATAATTAAAATGATATTTAAATAAAAAAATTATAATTAACTACTTTTTTAATTATAATTGCAAGTGTACTTAGTTATTTTTATGCTGGACTACTTGAACTGGACGGTAGGGAAAAAATATAATATAATAAACTTGATGTTCATAAGCTGTTAAAATGTCCTACATAAATAAATGATTTTCGAATTTGGATTTGAATTTAACATAAAATGAAAATCTCATGCGTGAACAACTATTGTAATATCATAGTATAGATTCAATATTAATATTAAATTGATATGTAAAATAACTTACGCGAAATCTCCTTCGTTATCCGTGCTCATTATGACTCGAGCTCTGATGAACTGTACTCAGATGACTTGGTTCCTGCTCCTTATCAATATATAAACAACTGAATAAATTAGGTCTATAACTATACAACTATCGCAGTTTAGTATAAAAAAAACATGTCTATGAGATGTCGCTATCAACACTTATTACTCACAAATTTATCATTCCATCTTGAACGTTAAACGCAAAAACTACGATTGCAAATAATTTTACCGAAGGTCGCTGATTCGATTTCCGGACAGTACAAACTTTAGCAATGATATGTGTGTTCAAATTGAAATTTATATATTGTTTCATTAAAGATATTTTAGCCACTTATGCATATAGTTTCTTTTAAACTTACCATCCACTTCTGGATACTATTTTAGTTATGAACTAGCAAGAAAATAAATTATTATTCATTTTAAGGTAAATATTTTAACATTATTAACTTATTTACGTGATTAGTAATATGTTTAATATTTCTTTTAAAAGATGATTGTAACAATACCAATGAAGGCACCAGTGTAAGATGATAGGATGTCCTCGCTATTTCATATCACGCGACATTAATATTTTTACAAGAATTTGTATTTGTTATATTGTAACTCAAATATTTTTTAATGAGAAGATCAGTAGGTGAAATGGATCGACGTCCTTTTCGGGTTCGATTTTTGCAAGTTACAAATTCTTACATTTATGGGAAGCACAAGCATTGCATTGTCTGGGTGTTATCTGTATGTATATATATATATAGTACAAAAAAATATATGTAGGTGTTTATATCATTTGTTTATTTACCCAAAATACTAACTCTGGTTAATTTGTTAATAGATGGCAATATAACATTTAAACGTTAAATGTATTACTTATATTTCATATTATCGTGCCATACCTAAATTCTACAAAATTCTACCGTAACATTTTTTGTCGGTTACATCACTGGATATAGTAATCACTAGACTATTCAAAGCAAATAAATAAATAAGTAGACCACCACTTATTTCTTTATTTGCTTTGAATAGTCTAGTGATTAACACACCGCTTCACATACTACTGTTGCGGATTCGATTACTTGAACAGTACATGTGATTATTATAAATATGATTGTTCGCTTTTACAGAAACAAATATATCTAAGCATTTATATCGATTGTCCAGTACCCATAACACAAGCTCTGCTTAGCTTAGCTTAGATTTGTAAAATAGACAATACATTAATATAAACGTTTGTATTTTGTGAGAATCGAACCCCTGAGTGCTGGCGACCTTAGGAAGCGAGATGGTGTGTTCAACCTCAGGAACATCTCTTTTTATACTTATTTTAATTGCATATGCGTGTACAATAAATTAACAATACACACATGGACTCTGTTTAAAAAGTGTAGCTATTTCGTAGATGACTCATATCATATTTTAGTCTGTTAGTTTATTAGGACGAAATGAAATTTATTCTGCTTAGCTCCTACAGAATGTGGGCAAAATTTATTTTATAGTATAATATTCATTGCAATCTATTAAATTCTTTTTGCCTTTTTGTTTAATAAATAATTATTTTGTCAATATTTGTAATATTTGAAAATGTGGTTTACAACTTTCAAGTTGTTTTATGTTTGCTATTACATACTTATGCACTCTTTTTGCATCTCTGGATGCATCCTGGGCATTTGTACTTTCTCCTCAAAGTATATACGATGCAATGCGTGTGCATAGACATAGTAAGCTGTCACTGCATCATCGCACTGCGTATTTAATAGAATTATTTTATTTACTAATTAAGTGCGCTGGAAAATTTCGATATATCACATTGAATTCTGATTAAAATAATTACAGAGTCCTAGATAATGTTCATTATTTTATCTTATCATATTCAAAGTTCATTAAATCATTGCCGTACACGAATATATTACTCATATACATATATATACATACATATATTTGATTGAAATTTTTATAAATAGTTTTTTTAGACCGATTGTCGTGGAGATCTTTGGGGGAGACCTATGTCCAGCAGTGGACGTCTTCCGGGCTGCGATGATGATGATATAGAAGAGTGCAGAAACCTAATATATTTCTAAAATTATGCATAAAAATACATAAAATCAATAAATTAAATATATGATATATTTTTTTATAATATATCCATTGTATTTTAATATATATTTTAAAAAACATTTTGGGCCACGCATTCTTACAACCGCGCCTGAACTCCATTGGACAAAGTTCCTAGTTTAGGTCTAGGCACAATTAATCAACTTGAATGTATTTACTACACTGATATTTGTTCAAGGTTACATATTTAGGTATTTAGTTGTAAATATAGATATGGATATTGAAAATAAATTGAATACACTGTATTCAGTAGCTAAATAGATACGTTTAGAGTTGCACACATAGCAACTCGGCCGTATCTAATCCTGAATTAAACTAAGCTTGTACTATGGATACTAGACTACTGATAGACATTCTTAAAAACATTTTGTTGTCCTTTTTTTTAATTTAATAAAATATGGATATAAAAAATAGATGTCTATGTGTGCTCGCGACTTCGTACGGGTGGAGTGACATTGTATAGCATTTTTAATATTTTTTTTTCGGTATATTCTAATGCTGTTGGCCGCAGCTGGCCTTTACAGCTTCACCGGACGTTAGGGGGCGAGTGCAGATGGCACTCCAAACCCGCGGAAGGACTTATGGAGCGGCTGAAGACCAACTCCTGCTTGACGGATACGACTTTAGTCTGAGGGCACCACTAGGGGTTCGAACCTCGGCTCAGGCTGTCGTAATATCGATCCCCGTTTGAATTGGACGGGGGATCGATCGGAAGGGTTTTAATTATTTAGGCTAATTATTTTACAAATAAGAAACATACGTATATATACGTAGTATCTCGTACATGTATGCACCGCCACTACCACACTATATATTGGTATTCATCATCATCATTACATAGTATAAAACAAAGTTTCTGTCGCTATCTGTCCGTCCGTATGTATGCTTAAATCTTTGAAACTACGCTACGGATTTTGAAGCGGTTTTTTTTAATAGATAGAGTGAATCAAGAGGAAGATTTATATGTATGATATATGTACGCCCTGGCGAAGTCGGGGCGAGTAGCTAGTTTATTATAAACCTATATCCATACTTAAAATATTTTTGACAGCCTCGGTGGTCTAGCATACCGCTTCACTATCCGATGATCGCGATTTCGATTCCTAGCACGGTACTAACATTTGTATTCATGAGTATGATTATTTGTATCGGTCTGGGTGTTTTCTATGAATAATATGTATTTATTTACAAAAAAAAAATGCATCCATATATTTATATCAGTTGTCTAGTACGCCATCTAGTCCCAAGCCAAGCTATGCTTAGCCTGGAACTAGATGGCGTTGTGTGAATTGTCCTGAGATATTATTATTATAAATCAGAGCAACACGCAAGTTTCTTGCTCATTCTTCTTGTCATGAGACAGCTTTCCGAAGGAGCAGCAGATGAAAATAAAAGTGATGTGTCTATTCAAAAGTACAAAAGTGTAAGTTTTAATAAATGTTTTTCTATTATATTCTATTGAGGGGGAAGGAATTGATCACGATGGTTTCAAGGGGGAATCGCGTGGAGGTCAACCTGACATGGTACATTGGTAGCAATGGAGTATATAGTTCACATTACTAACAATGCCCCCTTACGTCACACATTAGTGTGTGACATTGTATAACAAGGGATTTTTTTATGGATGATAATGGAATGGTGCACCCGCCTGCGCTAACGGTTTACGCTGGCAGGACACCATGGAACATAATAAGATGAGCATGAGGTCAGGTCAATTAGCCCATCGTGACCAATTCCACGATGGTTTCCGTGGAGGCCAAACTAACATGGTACATTGCTAGCAATAAGATCATCAGTTCACATTACTAATAATTCCATTTTTCCCCTCTAACAAGGGGTTAGTGGAGTCATAGTCACTTTAAAAAACATGAAATCTAGAGGAGTTGTTGCGGGGAAATAATACTATGTTCTCAATTGAGACTATGTATATTACTGATGGTAATAGACTGATAAAATGTGCATAAAAATATTGATCTTATATAGTAAATAACAATAGGAAAATATGAGGTGGGGTGACACACTTTAGACACGGCAGTGCTTAGTAGACAATATTAAATTATACAAATTTACTTCGGGTGCAATAAAAACAAATTTAATAAATAAAATGTGTCCAGCTGTAATGGGGACGCAGTTCCCCCTTCCGCAAAATTTGGGTAAAAATGACTGAAGTTAGTGTGACATAACAGATAACCCCTAACTGAAGATGATTCCTCGCGACGGTAGCTATAAACTTCCTACAAGTATGCTTTTAATATTTCAGTAAATATAATATTTGTCTCTTAAAAATATATCAGGCGTTTTCATCAGCTTCTCATGTTATTATTTTTATACGTTGTTAGTTGACTATTGTATCTATATGCAGAATAAATAAAACTCACCAGATTTTTTTATAGCATAGGGGATAAACGAGCTTTGGACTCACCTGATGTTAACTGATTACCGCCGCCTATGCACACCCAAGATCAGGGGAATTGCAAGTGCGTTCCTTAGTTTCAATATCGTATCGTATTGTGGAGACAGAATGTAAAATGTCATCTACGTGGGATCTCAGTATCACCTATTTTGTTTACTTTGTAACCTGTTTCGTATGTAAGGTACGATTAGGGAGTAATCCTGCAGAATGAGATGCATTACATCTTAGTCATTTGGGATGGTACAATGGCACACACATATGACGCCTGGTGCTGTTAGTGTACATAAGCGACAGTTACAGCTTACCATCAGGTGGGCCGTCACCTTGTTTGCTTAAAGTAATATTTATTACTTATTTAATTCGGATAATACTTATTTATTCAGTATTATGATGCTGAATAAATAATTATTATGATGTGTTATGACACAGAGTACTGCACACGTGTCACTGCAGCGCTGATTTTCTGTGATATTCTTACATATTATGTTAGTAAACAGTAG